CTCATCAGCTAGCCATACCCTTGCTGGGATTCGAACCTGTGCTGTATTGCATCTTAGGCAAACGTCTTAGCCATTAAGAAATTTTCTGTCGTGATGGACTCTTGTGATGAGCCGATTGACAGATAATGGAAGCAGTTAGCTTCCATATACATACATACATACATACATACATACATACATACATACATACATACATACATATATATATATATATATATATATATATATATATATATATATATAATTTGATCAATATACATTGATTAAATAAAATTATTATGGAACTTCCAAAATTATGTGCAATGAACACAAAATTAGAAGAAACATGTTAGTTAAGATATGTAATATAGGTAGTCCTCACTTTATGACCATCAGTGTAGTGGCCATGCAAGGTTATAACAGCACTGAAAAAAGTGACTTGCAGCCAATCCTCTTACTTATGACTGTTGCATGATGTTGCAACATGCTTGTAGTCATCACCTTTTTTTTTTTACCTTCCCAGTTGACTTCCCTGATTCTAATCAAGGGTTGGATAACTTCTCCAGGTGTTTTAATCTAGGAACCCCACCCAATTTAGAGAGCATGGATATTTATAAAAATTATTCTTCCAATTTAAAGATTATTGATTTGATAGGGGTAATGCTAGAAACATCAGTCTGTCAAAGATTGAGTTATTGACCCCTAGTTAATATTTATTTTTGTGGTCAGAAGATAGTAAAATGTTTTCATTTAATGTCATATTAGGATTTCAAGAAGATTAAGCAATTCTAAATAATTTATCAGGAAAACTATATATGAATTTCATTAAATAAATTTTATTATGCCCTGTTTCCCTGAAAATAAGACCTCCCTGGATAATAAGCCCAATCGGGATTTTGAGCGCATGCGCTAAAACAAGCCCTCCCCTGAAAATAAACCCTCCTCGAAAATATTGCAACACAGCAACAGCCATAAGGTGACCACCCTCTCTGCCTCCTGCACCTCTAAAATAATAAAACAAGGCTAGTGCTTATTTCGGAGTCAAAAGAAAATAAAACCTGTCTTATTTTTGGGGGAAACACAGTAGTTCATTGATGCCCAACGCTAAAAATATGCGGAGTTGAATTGTTTGATTTTAATAAGGAATGTCAACTAAATATAAATAAAAGGAAGGCACTATTATGTGACCAAATTGTAAGAGAATTAAAGTTGAACATGGGTGAATATGTTAAAAACAGGGAAATTAGATGAGGAAAGAAAGGGTAATATTCCAAAGCCCATTGACTATAGATTGAGTCAAAGAAGCTAAAGGAATGTGGCAGATCTTAAGGATATAGGAAGAAGAATCTGTCCTTGATTCTGTATGAACATTTGTGTTGCTTTGTTCTCTCCTTAATCAGACACAGATGCCAGATCCCAAGACCTTCAAGCAGCACTTTGAGAGCAAGCATCCCAAAACTCCCCTTCCTCCAGAATTAGCTGATGTTCAGGCATAAAGTTCACTGGTAATTTTGTACCATTTAAATTTGGAATTAATTGATCATAAATCCTAAATAATTTTGTCTCATATTTCATTTGTTATATTTCTGAAGGGTATGAAAATGGAGAGATAACTTTAATATAAAATCAACTGCTACTTGAGCTTTTTTGGGAAAGGGGGAATCTGTTGTATTTACAATTTAACTTGTGTAGTTAGGCTATTGTTCTCACCAAGCCTATTTGCAAAACTGCAAAAAATAGCTGAAAGGGTATGTTTATAATATTATTTTAGCCAGTTCTGTTAACAGTTGTTTGTGATGGTTAATTTTAAAATTGGATGACATTAAATCAGTGTTTTTCATATTTGGCAACTTTAAGATGTATGGACTTCAGCTCCCAGTAATCTGAGAAATTCTGAGAAGTGAAGTTTGCGCATCTTAAAAGTTGTTAAGTTTGAAAAAGACTGCATTAAATTATTGCATATTATTAATAAGATAATGACATAACAGTTCAAGTAATGAATTTACTCTTGTGTTTCAGGTGAATTCATGGAATTTATTGACTCTTCTATTGCCAGACATTACATAACAAACCTGCAGCTGCTTTTCTAACAAACTGTTGATCAGCAAAAAAATGAAGGGGCTATAGAAACATTCATATTTTTATGCTGTTCCTCTTGGGCTTCATGTAAAGACAACTCTGTGTAATTGTACAGTTGTGCCCTACTTGGAAATCTGGAAATTGGTTCATTCTAAAAAAAATTTACAGTTGTAATTATATTGATGTTCATATTGTGTAAAATAACTCATTTAATAAAGTAGTACTTTGATTTTACAATATCACAGGTCAAATGCTTGTAGAAATTCTATTTCCATGTTTTATTTGCCTTATAAAACTTCAACAAGTGAATTTCTCACCCTGCCAAAAATTAGGTAGTTTAGTTAGATTCATTGCTGTTAATTAAGTCAATTAGAAACAAGGAAATAATTTCTCCATTCAATATGATACTTGCCTGAGCGTGATCATTTTCTAAAACAAAAAACACTGCTTTTGACTGAAGACGAGTACACTTTCAGCTACTTAGGTTGGAGTGCCTATTCTGCCTGGCCATTGTGAAATTTCACTTTTTATGCATAGAGGCACTTGTATCTTGGATTTATGCACTGGAGTCACCTGCAGTAGCTGTGAATCATTATACTAAATGGTGGGATATCAGAAGTATACTTGAACTGAACATTGTTTTTTTTTTTTTTACATGATCTGAGTGGTTCAGACTATAACAACACGAAATAACGGCTTTCTGTTGTGAAGACCCACTGTGTAACTTCTCAATTGTACCTGTAAAAAGTGGGCCACCTTTCATATGTAAAAATGACTACTGTAAATGTTTCCCTGTTTGAAAACAAAAATGGAAAAAGTTTAATTTGGTGGACTAGGATAGCATATGACGAGAGAAATAATTGCTTATTTATTTGATTAGTTGGAACTGGTTACATATAGCAGTGCCGATGTTAAAATTTCAATACCAGGCAGTGTTGCATTTTGTTACAGATTTCCAAACTATGTTTGAGCAGGATTCTGATCTCAGGTGCAGTCTATAGATTCTGCCCCAGGTGCTTTTCACTCAAACAGATAATTTGTGACAAGTTATTTATGTTACTGATTTGACACTGACAGTAATATTAACCAAAGTTTGCTTTGTGCCTAGAACAGACGTCTTTGAAATCATTCTGTTAAGTCAGCACACATAATATGCATTTGATACATAAATAAAAACATAATTGTGATCTGTTTGTTTACTAATCTGATACATCAGTTAAGTTGATGCTATTTTCATTACCCTGGGGTAAACAAGACCAGTTATACTGCTTACTTGCACTTGTACACCTGACATTGGAATAAAGCTCTTACTGCGTTTTCTTTTCTTACCTAATAAAATGTCTTCATTGTAAAATGACAACAGGGGTTCCACAGGCAAGAAGTCTGCCTTTCAAAACAATAAGAGTTACTGGAAACTTGGAATGGAACACCGTTTTAAAAATAACTTGAAAGGTTATATGTTCACTAATTTTACTTTAGTTTCTTTAGATGGAATTCCAGAAAGCTACTTTCAGATAAATTCATTCCTCAAGCAGATACATGTAATATTTTCTTTAAGAGTACTTATCAACAAATAAAGGGTTGGGAACAAAAAAAAGGTTTCTACTAGATTAGTACAACTGACCCACTTATGTTGCAGACTGCATTTTTCTGAACTGCTGTTATAAGTAGCTTGTATCTGTATACTGAGCAAGCTAAATCTTGATTTTATACATTAATTAAACTGCTAAAGATAATTCGTTTCTAACTAGTCAAAGGCCACAAGAAAATCCTGACATTTAACATATGGGAATGAATTGGATGGGTTGTAACTATCCATAATAAGAATCTTGTAATTCTCTGATGATTAAAGGAATGGGTGTAAGGAATAAGTGAAAAAAATTCCAAATCTTGTGGATAGAATCTGTTAATTCTGGATCAAAAGACACAATTGTGCATTGTAATGTGTCTGATTAAAATCTTTTAAAAAGCAAAAGTCGAAAATGTGATATTTCCTGCTTACCTAAGTGTCATTTCTTTAACCTTGATGCTAACTGAGCAGCTTTAGTTCTTTGTTTAGCACAAGGAATGGAAATAACAGCAAAAGTTTCATTCGATTTGCATGTGTCATTCATAGATAAAACCAAGATAAGTTTAGAGAAAATATGCACAAGGACTTTGCTGTTATGAACATTGTGATATTGGTAGTTAGCAAGCAGCATGTTTTTACGTAATTTGTTTAAACCGTCATTCGTCATACTTAAAATATACAAAGTATAATGTGCCAAAATACACAATACAGTAGTGTGTTTCCTTCCAGTGATATTGGTCACAGTCCTATTTCAAAGGCTAGTTTGAATGTGGATATTCCAAATTAATAATTATTTTGGACATATATTTGAAAACGATGCTTAACCTTCGGGATCTAAGTGTTGGCAAAGAACCTTAGTAAAACATTTGGTTTAAATATTGGAAGGCTAAATACAAAATCTATCTAATAGTTCAGACTTGATTGTTATTGTTCTTGGAAAAATGTATCGGGCTACTTTAATTTCAAAACTGGATTATATCAAGTGAGACATTTTTCTTCAATCTGGCAGCATGTTATGTTTGAGGTTGTTGCTGTTGCTTTACGTATGTGATGGTACAACTCTTAGCATTAGAGTTGCAGAATTCTTGAGAAAGTGGGTGGGTGTGCAACATTTTAAAAAGTATGCATTTAAATACAGTCATTTACGGAATGGTTGAGTTTAAACTTTGGTCTTGTCTGAGTATGAACCAGAGTACTGTAAAGCAATAATTTTTAAAAAGGTGGTGGACCATACATATCCATGGGGGATTAAAATATTTTGAAACATGAATTTGATTCGTTTTAATTTGTACTTCAGGAAAACTATAAAATCAAGAGAACATCCATGATTAACTACATTGTTGCCTCTTAAATATATTCTTTCCTCTTGCTGATTTCAGTATCTTGTATATTAACATGAAAACTAGATTGCTTCCATGAAATATAAGTGCATGAGAAGAAGCTATTCCTTTTTTATGCCTTCACCAGCATCTCTTGGGGAAATTATGGTTTTAAACATTTACTGGCTGTACTTAGTATTACAGTAGATGTAAGAAACTAGGCACCATGTATTTTACAGGACTTGTGCTAGTGCAGGGGTGTCAAACTCACAGCATCACAGCAGCATTGCGTGAATTATCGTTTCCCCGTTGCTAAAATGTGTGGGCGTGGCCAGTGCATGACGCATTCGGTCCATGGGCCACGAGTTTGACATCCCTGTGCTAGTGCTTGCAGCAAGTTTCATGGAAGTGTTATGGCTGATCTGCTATAGTAGCATCAATCTATGAGACCAAAAGGTGTCTCCAATCATGCAACCTATAGGTAAATATTTGGCACAGGTTGCTCTTCTAAATGTTTAGTTTGGGAGTACTTTTTGTAAAATATATGTTTATAGTAGTGCTTTGATATATAACTGACCCCATCATCTTCCTTCATAAGGCTGATCATCAAAAAAGTCATTCTCATACTTTAACCATGCTAAGTATAGATAGTTTCCCCTAGGCCTGCTAACATCACATGTGTACCGTAGTGGACAATTTTATATGAAAAAAAACAAAGTACTTCCAACTCTGTTAATAGCACTGTACCAGTTTAAATCTGTGTTTTCCAGTTGTGTTAGTGTTTCAAAACTTAGACTTCCTAGACAAAAATTAAGTGTCATAGGTATTCTGAGGAATGTAGTTCCAAGGACCTTTATTTAATAGATAGGGATTTAGCAGACTTAAGATTTAACTGACAGGAACTTTGGCCTGAATTTCAAACAATCACAATGCCTGAACAAAGTAACTAGGATAATGTTTTCCAACACAATTGCAAGCAGAAGCCCAGCTGAGACAACCATTTCCCTGCTGGGCCTAAATACTACTGGCCACTATTGCTTAGCAAATCAGTTCCAATCCCAAATATCCCTGATTGTGGCATTTGTACATTGGGCATTTTTTCTGCCTCTGCCCGCTCTGACATTTATACATTTGGACATTCAAAAGGACCATTCTGCTTTTATTTCTCAGAATGGCCCTTTTGAATTATTGGTTTTCCTGTTGGTAGTAAGTAAAATGGACTCATGATAGATACACCAAATGCCTTAGGCCAGATGTAATAGAATTGATACATACTGAACTGGTCTTGAATTCAATTTTCCTTGAGTAGCACAATAGCCATAGCAAGGAAACTAGACCCTGGAGTCCTCAACCTGAAGATGCTATATAAATACCAGGAATGTGTAAACACGATTACTAAGGAAGGAATTTGTACCTTTAATGGTAAGAAGCCACATTAGTCTATGGCAGGGGTGGGTTGCTGCGGCGTTAATGCCGGTACGGTGCGTATGTGCTTTACCCGCGGGTGTGCAGTTGCCTGTAAATAAGTTTGCTCATGTGTAGGACATTAAGGTGCTACTTACCACCCATAAAGCCCTTCATGGTAGTGGATCTGAGTACTTGAGAGACCGCCTTCTGCTGATTACCTCCCTTCGTCCCATCAGATCGCACAGAGTGGGCCTCCTCCGAGTTCCATCCGCCAGTCAGTGCCGACTGGCGACTACGCAGAGGAGAGCCTTCTCAGTAGCAGCTCCGACCCTTTGGAACAATCTCCCCGTAGAGATTCGCACCCTCACCACAGTCCAGAGCTTCCGCACAGCCCTTAAGATCTGGCTATCCCGTCAGGCCTGGGGATAAGATCTTCATACACCCCACCCAAATGTTGAATGAATGTTGTGTTTTATTGCTATTTTTATTTGTACTCACATATTATTTTACGTTCTGTCTTGCACCCCCTTCCCATGAGTTGTAAGCTGCCCTGAGTCCCCTCAGGGAAAAGGGCGGCCTATAAGTGACAATAAAATACAAAAATACAAAATACAAATTAAAAAATGCTAAAAAAAACATGCGGCAACCAGGGAACCGGTTCGGAGGGGTGGCCAGTTTGGGTTGCTGCCGGTTCTGCGACCCAGGCCAACATTCCACTATTGGTTTGGCTGAACTTGGCTGAACTGGTAGCAACCCTCCTCTGGTCTATGGTGACAAATCAGGAGGAGTCAGGTAGCAATTTTTATTAAAAGACATTTTCATGAACTGCATAAAGCCTATTAGTTGGAAAAGGTGCCATCAAGACTCCTGGGCGGGTTTTGGAACTTTTTTTTTCCTTTGGAAATATGAACTACTCATGATGTGTGTATAGAATCACTAGATGATGGATGGTTTCCTGGGGCTTGTTAGGTTTCACCTCAAGTGTTTTCTGCTGCTTATGGAAGACTTGTGATACAGGAACTAGAGTTTTCCACCACAAATGGCCTTTTTTTGGCCAGTGAAGGAGTCCTTTGGAAATAGAGCGAGATGGCATCTCAACACTAACTCTACTTGGACTAGTCCCCATCTTTCATAAACTCTTATGCTTGTAGACTTGGGATATTTATATGGATTATGATTGAATCTCAGTACCATCAAGTGGTCTGCATTCTACTTGGTGTCTTTAATCATTGCTACCAATCTCAAAATTTCAACTGCTGTATGCTTTTCTGTAGAATGTTATATTTGTATTCTAGTGCAATTGTTTCATACTACTGAGGCAAATACAAAATGTATTCCATATCCAGCCCTATTTAAATGTTAGGTCAAAAGCTAGTCTTCAAGTTCAGCTTAATTCCTGGTGACTTTCTTCCTATAGAGAAGGGTTTTGCTACTGCCAACTTGCAAAAACCTTGTTTTTGACTTCCCAGTCTAGTCAGTTCTGGGTCTTCCTGGTTAGCTCCCATCTAAATAATACTAATCAGATCTAATCCTGTTTAACTGATAAACCAAAGTTGGTTAGTTGCTGCCACCTAGCTGAACTTTAAATACATACACCTTCAGCAAAAAAATCAGAAAAGGCAGAGGTGCTGTACATGTTGCTCAATTAATTGTCTGTTGACGATTAGCACCTACATTGAATAAATTATTATTTTTCAAGGTTATGACCAACTTTGCAAAACCTTGTCTTCTTAGCTTAAAGAATATTTAAATTAGGAATTGGAAAAAAAAGATTGGACAAGATAGACATATCTTCACCTAAGTCTTTTTTGTGACATCTGAATAAATTATCTAATCATTCCTGTTCTATATAATAAACTATGTCAAATTCATGCTGTTTTTCACAATCTCAAACTTTCAGTGCAATGCATAAACAATCTCAACTGCCTAAAACCTGGAAAATTTGGGAAAGAAAAGAGGAAGGAAGATGGGAGTGTTTAATTGCTTAACTGAGTGAGTTAATCCAATTTATATTCCAAACTAATTGTAACCTTGACATGTTGGCCTATTTTTTAAAATTCACACAAGAATCAGAGTGAACCATAAGTGACTAAGGACATATTAAATAAATACTTCACTTTTAAAAGGTGATGTTTCCTACTAAGCCACTTTTGGAGCTAGAGTAAAGTGGTTTAACATCTTCCAGGATGGTTTCTTGTCCTTTCTTGTCCTAAAGATGTTTTTTTTGAAAGCCAACCAGACTTAGTTTTTCCTTGAAGACATTTCGCTTTTCATTAATAAAGTCCAGTTACCTTTTGAAAAAGCACCTTTGGGACAACCATGACCTTGGTGACTGAATCTCCATAGACATTTATCCTTTCTTTTTTAAACTACAGCCCTTGATATTTCTTAATACTCAATCTAGTATTGATCCTAACCAGACTCAACTGTATTTAGCTTTCTTAAATCAACTAATACTTTGTTTTGTGAAAAATAACTTTTTCTCTCACTTAACAAGAAAAGCTTAGAACTTTCTCACTTAGTCTAGACTTTATTGACAAATGTAGACATGGAGGAAACATAGTTATTATAACTACGACAAAAGGCTTTTTTTTTGGTAAAAAAAGAGAAAACTATGGGGGGGAAGGGTACAATTAAATATGATGTAAATCTAGAACAACCAATCTTCCTATTCTATGAAGTCACTGAGGTGGGCAGCCATATGAATTAATAAATTACATTTCTTCCTATCTAAGCTACAATCCACTGAATTCCTTGAAACAATTTCTAGTATTTTGTGGTCCAATTTAAATTGAAAAGCTTGCCTAACCAGTGTAAAATTTTTCTCTATTTATAAGCATTTTTTAAAATAGTATCACATATTTGAATTAAAGCGAATGTAACAATCAGTCATGCCATTTCATTTTTCAATAGGATGGACTAAAGATCTTGTTAGAACATGTATAAAACCTAAGATAATGATGCAAAATTAAGGCACTAAAATCTGTTTGATCCATATTTCAAAGAGAAAATCTGGGTTTGATACAGCAGCTCTTTTCAACAATTTTCCACTTTCTAATAGAAAGGATAATAAATCTAATGCTAAATCCCCAGGGAAGGAAAGAATTAATCATGGTGTAGGGGAAAAGATTTTAGTTCTCAAAGAAAATTTCCTATGTCATCTAAGTATTCTGTTAATCTCTGAAAAAACATGTATTTAATATTGCTCTGCTGTGCTGAATAATCTAGATTATTCAGAATAATCTGGAGCTAGATACGTAGAATGAATGGTGAATCTACCATTAGAGCAGTAGGTCTCAACCTTCCTAATGCCACGACCCTTTAATACAGTTCCTCATGTTGTAGTGACCCCCAACCATAAAATTATTTTATGTTTTCTGTATTTTTTCAAATATATCTGTTTTCTGATGGTCTTAGGTGACCCCTGTGAAAGGGTCATTCTGTCCCCAAAGGGGTCGCGACCCACAGGTTGAGA